TGGGTGCCGCTGCGCCGCCGAACGAGAGGAGCCGCCCGAGCAGCGCGGCCTGGCCTACGGTCTGTACCTGCGCATCGACCTGGAGCGGCTGCAGTGCCTCAACGAGAGCCGCGAGGGCAGCGGCCGCGGCGTCTTCAAGCCGTGGGAGGAGCGGACAGACCGCTCCAAGGTGGGCCGCCCGGGGCGGACGGGGCGGGGGCTGCGCGGGGCCTCAGGCCGCCCATCTGCGCCGTCGCCTCATTCCTGATGTTAAAAATAACGATAGCCCGGTGTCCAAGCGCTTTCCCATGCCTGTCTCCTTCCAGCCCTTTGGGAGGGGGACAGGGTTGAGTCTCCCTATTTTGGATATAGGGAAACTGAGGCCCGGAGATGGAAAGGGGGCGCTTTGACTTTACACAGCCTAACGCTCTATTCCGGGACTGCGTGGGTTAGTGAGGGAGGTTGGCCGTGAGAGCGTTTTCTCTTCCATTTGACCATTGGTCCCAATGGCTGCCTGATCATATCACCTGATGAAGACCAGCCTAGGGAGAGAAGGGGTGTTTCTTATTTGGAGCGCAGGTTTTTTATCATTGTGAGGTTACAGGACCCTTTGAGAGCCATTTGAAAGCTACGGACCCTCTCCCTAGAAAAGTGCCCATAAGCACCCATCTTTCAATTCAGGAGACTCGTCGTCTCTGGAAGTTCATTCATGGGCTCCCTAATAAGAACCCTGTAATTGGATGGTACGTGGCTGTTAGAACACTGGGAAAGATTGATTTAGCTTCAGGTTAATAAGTCCTGGAAAACCGAGGAAGGTTGACTATTTGCATTGCACCCCAGTTGTAGAACAGGGTGGAAGATGCCTGAAATTTTAGGTTCTCAGAAAATATTTGTTGCTTTCTTCTCCCCACTCCCCATCCCCTCCAGTTTGTTGAAAGTGATGCAGATGAAGAGCTTCTGTTTAATATTCCGTAAGTATCTCCTTGGTGCTTGCCTCAGGCTAAATAGGCTGTACGCAGTTACCTTGACAGATGGATTCATTCAGTGGTTGTGTTGAGCCCACATCTGTTTCTAGAAATGGGGTAAATTACTTTGGTGGATCTGAAGAGGAAAGCATAGCTGTCTTGGTGCAGACAGGAAACATGTTATTTGTTGAACAGTAACTGAGAGGTTGAGGTAAATGTCTTAGAATTATAGAATGCCAGAAGCAGAAAGGATCTTAGAAATTATCTAGTACGAGTCAGACAGACGAGTAAACTAAAGGCCAGAAAGGGGAAGGATCTTGTCCAAGGTCACAGCTAAGCAGGGATTCAAACTCAGGTTGACAACCTTCTCTTTTGCATTCTGGCAGATTTACGGGCAATGTCAAACTCAAAGGCATCATTATAATGGGAGAGGATGATGACTCACACCCTTCTGAGATGAGACTGTGAGTGGCAAGGGCTTAGGCCCTCAAGAAGCTCCTAGTTCTCTTTTTTCTGGTAACACTTTATTGCAGAATAATATTATTTTTCTTTTACTGGATTAAATATTACCCCTTTAAATATATCTTGGTCTTGTTTGCATTCGGATCAAAATACTGAACTCTTCGGGTTTTTTTTTTAGTGGCTGGCTGACAGGGGGATCTGAACCCTTGACCTTGGTGTTACAAGGCTGTGTTCTAACCAACTGAGCTAAACTGCTAGCCCTATACACTTAACTCTTTCTGAATAAAAGTGCTTACTATGGCACCATTCATTCAGAGAGCATTCTGTAAATGCCAGTTGTTGATGACTTTGCAGTTTTCTTAATAATCCAGCTGCAGATCTTAAATGATCTTTATGGATCTACTTGGGGTTAGCTTCAAAATTTTCCCTTGCTATTTCATACAATAATAATCTTTACATGTGTTTTGTTGACGTGGAATTACTTCATTTGAGTTTGTGTGGTCTTTAGTTAGCAAAGTTCTGTATATCTCTTGCAGCACTGTATCTGTTACCACTAGAGCTAGTACTCCCTTTTTGATAACTTACTTTATTCCAGGATAGCCTTCCTAAAAGAAGGGGAAAACTACTTTTTTGAGTGCTGGAGAAACAAATAACAGGAGAACTTTACATAAAAAATTTCATCTGGGGCTGGTTTGTTAGCTCAGTTGATTAGAGTGTGGTACTGATAACACCAAGGTCCAAGTTTCGATCCCTGTACTGGCCAGCCACCCCCCAAAAAAATTATCTGAAAAATTGATCAGTTGAAATGGACTTTTTTTTTTTAAAAGATGACCAGTAAGGGGATCTTAACCCTTGGCTTGGTGTTGCCAGCACCACGCTCAGCCAGTGAGCGAACCGGTCATCCCTATATAGGATCCGAACCCGTGGCCTTGGTGTTATCAGCACCGCACTCTCCCGAGTGAGCCACGGGCCGGCCCTTGAGATGGACTTTAGAGAGAGTTAAGAAATTAATACTATTTTTGAATGTTTTTTTTTTTTCCTTTTTGTCTTTTTTCGTGACCGGCAACGGATCGCAACCCTCAGTGTCGCGCC